ACGGACGCAGACGAGGACACGGACAGGAGACGAGGACACGGACAGACGAGGACACGGACGCAGACGAGGACACGGACAGAGACGAGGACACGGACGCAGACGAGGACACGGACAGAGACGAGGACACGGACAGAGACGAGGACACGGACGCAGACGAGGACACGGACAGAGACGAGGACACGGACGCAGACGAGGACACGGACGCAGACGAGGACACGGACGAGACGACACGGACGCAGACGAGGACACGGACAGAGACTCAGGGGGCGGAGTCAGCGGAGGTCGATCTCTCCAGTCTCCAAACTTCACGTGTCCTTCAGATGATCTTCAGAACATTGGTGGAGTTTCCACGACCGAGGAGCTTCATCCAGACTCACACCAGCGAGAAGAACACGACCGACACACGTCTTCATCAACAACAGCTCTGAACCCTGCAGCTGTTCAGTCCTCTGTCCTCTGAACCCTGCAGCTGTTTAGTCCTCTGTCCCCCTGAACCTGCAGCTGTTCAGTCCTCTGTCCTCTGAACCCTGCAGCTGTTCAGTCTTCTGTCCCCTGAACCCTGCAGCTGTTCAGTCCTCTGCCCCCTGAACCCTGCAGCCAGCTGTTCAGTCCTCTGTCCCCCTGAACCCTGCAGCTGTTCAGTCCTCTGTCCCCCTGAACCCTGCAGCTGTTCAGTCCTCTGTCCCCCTGAACCCTGCAGCTGTTCAGTCCTCTGTCCCTGTATTTCTGTGTGAACAGCTGAAAGGTCTCCGATAGTTGACAGCAGCTCCCACCTTCTCTTCTCCTCCGTCTCTCTCTCTTCTCCTCCGTCTCTCTCTCTTCTCCTCCGTCTCTCTCTCTCTCTTCTCCTCCGTCTCTCTCTCTTCTCCTCCGTCTCTCTCTCTTCTCCTCCGTCTCTCTCTCTCTTCTCCTCCGTCTCTCTCTCTCTCTTCTCCTCCGTCTCCTCTCTCTTCTCTCTCTCTCTCTCTCTTCTCCTCCGTCTCTCTCTTCTCCTCCGTCTCTCTCTCTCTTCTCCTCCGTCTCTCTCTCTCTTCTCCTCCGTCTCTCTCTCTCTCTCTCCTCCGTCTCTCTCTCTCTCCTCCGTCTCTCTCTCTCTCTCTCTCTCTCTCTTCCCTCCTCTCTCTCTCTTCTCCTCCGTCTCTCCTCTTCTCCTCCGTCTCTCTCTCTCCTCCCTCTCTCTCTCTCTCTTCTCCTCCGTCTCTCTCTCTCTCTCTCCTCTCTCTCTCTCTCTCTGCCCCCGTCTCTCTCTTCTTCTCCTCCGTCTCTCTCTCTTCTCCTCCGTCTCTCTCTCTTCTCCTCCGTCTCTCTCTCTCTTCTCCTCCGTCTCTCTCTCTCTTCTCCTCCGTCTCTCTCTTCTCCTCCGTCTCTCTCTTCTCTTCTCCTCCGTCTCTCTCTCTTCTCCTCCGTCTCTCTCTCTCTTCTCTCTCTCTCTCTCCGTCTCTCTCTTCTCCTCCGTCTCTCTCTCTCCTCCTCCGTCTCTCTCTCCTCTTCTCTCCGTCTCTCCTCCTCTCTCTCTCTCTTCTCCTCCGTCTCTCTCTCTCTCTCCTCCGTCTCTTCTTCTCCTCCGTCTCTCTTCTTCTCCTCCGTCTCTCTGTCGTTTCCTGTTCAGATTCAGTTTCTCTCTCTCTCTCGTGTGTTTGTTTAGGGGCAGTAAACGCCTCCACACTTTGCTTTTCTTTACCCTCCTCCTCCTCCCCCTCTTCCTCTCCTCCCTCCTTCCTCCCCCCCCCCCTCTCTCTCTCTCTCTCTCTCTCTCTCTCTCTCTCCTTCTTCTTCTTCACTTTAATCTAATCTGACGTTTGTTTTTCTGCGGTGATTTTGGGCCGAAGCAAATTTCTCTCGTCACGCGACGCGTCAAAACCTCCTGAAACCAAACTAAACCAGGACTAAACCAGGACTAAACCAGGACTAAAACCAGGTCTAAACCAGGACTAAACCAGGACTAAACCAGGACTAAACCAGGACTAAACCAGGTCTAAACCAGGACTAAACCAGGACTAAACCAGGACCAGGACTAAACCAGGACTAAACCAGGACTAAACCAGGTCTAAACCAGGACTAAACCAGGACTAAACCAGGACTAAACCAGGACTAAACCAGGACTAAACCAGGACTAAACCAGGACTAAACCAGGACTAAACCAGGACTAAACCAGACTAAACCAGGACTAAACCAGGACTAAACCAGGACTAAACCAGGACTAAACCAGGACTAAACAGGACTAAACCAGGTCTAAACCAGGACTAAACCAAACTAAACCAGACTAAACCAGAACTAAACCAGGACTAAACCAGGACTAAACCAGGACTAAACCAGGACTAAACCAGGACTAAACCAGACTAAACCAGGACTAAACCAGGACTAAACCAGGACTAAACCAGGACTAAACCAGGACTAAACCAGAACTAAACCAGGACTAAACCAGGACTAAACCAGGACTAAACCAGAACTAAAACCAGGACTAAACCAGGACTAAACCAGGTCTAAACCAGGTCTAAACCAGGACTAAACCAAACTAAACCAGGACTAAACCAGGTCTAAACCAGTCTAAACCAGGACTAAACCAGAACTAAACCAGAACTAAACCAGGACTAAACCAGGTCTAAACCAGGTCTAAACCAGAACTAAACCAGGACTAAACCAGGTCTAAACCAGGACTAAACCAGGTCTAAACCAGAACTAAACCAGGACTAAACCAGGACTAAACCAGGACTAAACCAGGTCTAAACCAGGTCTAAACCAGAACTAAACCAGGACTAAAACCAGGTCTAAACCAGGACTAAAGCAGGTCTAAACCGGGTCTAAACCAGGTCTAATCTGAGCTGGTAAAGTTCAGAGTCACAGCTCCCTCTGGTGGTGAGTTGAAGCCCTGCAGCTGTTCTCAGTAGAAGTGTCGCCCCCTGGTGGATCTCAGCAGCAGCTTCATGTTCAACACTTTTTACACTTTAACAGATTTTAACAAACAAAACCACAGAGACTCGAAAACTTTGGTCTGTCGTTTCTGTGCTAAAACTTTAAAAAACATGAAGAAAAAAAACAAAAACACCAAAATATGAACATTTTTCCCTGTACTTCCACGTTACTGCGTCACAAAAAACAACAACAACGCAGTAACTCTTCTACTTTTACTTTTACTTCTACTTTTACTTTTACTTTTATAACTCGTTTGTCCAACACTAAACAGATCCCTAAATGTCCGAGAGTTCTTTCAGTGACTTGAAATGTGAAACTTGTCGATTCTGCGGCAGAAAAACCGAGACGAGACCAAATCTATTAAACTCAAGTCGTTAAAAGATAGAAATGTCTTTGTGTTTTGTGAAATGTTCCACAGTGCGGCTTTAAACTCTTTTATGGTGATATTACAGTCACAGTCTGGTCTGTGTGAGTCTGGTCTATGTGAGTCTGGTCTGTGTGAGTCTGATCTGTGTGAGTCAGGTCTGTGTGAGTCTGGTCTGTGTGAGTCTGATCTGTGTGAGTCTGGTCTGTGTGAGTCTGATCTGTGTGAGTCAGGTCTGTGTGAGTCTGGTCTGTGTGAGTCTGATCTGTGTGAGTCAGGTCTGTGTGAGTCTGGTCTGTGCGAGTCTGATCTGTGTGAGTCAGGTCTGTGTGGGTCGGGTCTGTGTGAGTCTGGTCTGTGTGAGTCTGGTCTGTGTGAGTCTGGTCTGTGTGAGTCTGTGCGAGTCTGGTCTGTGTGAGACTGTGCGAGTCTGGTCTGTGTGAGTCTGTGCGAGTCTGGTCTGTGTGAGTCTGTGCGAGTCTGGTCTGTGTGAGTCTGGTCTGTGTGAGTCTGGTCTGTGTGAGTCTGTGCGAGTCTGGTCTGTGTGAGTCTGGTCTGTGTGAGTCAGGTCTGTGTGAGTCTGGTCTGTGTGAGTCTGTGCGAGTCTGGTCTGTGTGAGTCTGGTCTGTGTGAGTCTGGTCTGTGTGAGTCAGGTCTGTGTGAGTCTGTGCGAGTCTGGTCTGTGTGAGTCTGGTCTGTTTGAGTCTGGTCTGTGTGAGTCTGTGTGAATCTGGTCTGTGTGAGTCTGGTCTGTGTGAGTCTGGTCTGTGTGAGTCAGGTCTGTGTGAGTCTGGTCTGTGTGAGTCTGTGCGAGTCTGGTCTGTGTGAGTCTGGTCTGTGTGAGTCTGGTCGTTTCCATGGAGACGAGATTTTAATTTTAAATGTTTATTGTTTTTCTTCAGACTTCAGGTCGGGACTCGATTCGTTTTATTTAAATACGACATTTTACAAACTCAAGTCGACGAAACTTTTACAAACAAGAAAATAAGAAAATAAAACTTCAACAGCAGAAAAACAAAAGACACAAGAGGCAGAAGAAGAAGAAGAAGAAGAAGAAGAAGAAGAAGAAGAAGAAGAAGAAGAAGCAGTAGGGGCAGTAGGGGCAGTAGCAGGGCAGTAGGGGCAGTAGGGGCAGTAGGGGCAGGAGGGGCAGGCAGTAGGGGCAGTAGGGGCAGTAGGGCAGTAGGGGGCAGTAGGGGCAGTAGGGGCAGTAGGGGCAGTAGGGGCAGTAGGGGCAGTAGGGGCAGGCAGTAGGGGCAGTAGGGGCAGTAGGGGCAGTAGGGCAGTAGGGGCAGTAGGGCAGTAGGGGCAGTAGGGGCAGTAGGGGCAGTAGGGGCAGTAGGGGCAGTAGGGGCAGTAGGGGCAGTAGGGGGCAGTAGGGGGGGCAGTAGGGGCAGTAGGGCAGTAGGGCAGTAGGGGCAGTAGGGCAGTAGGGGCAGTAGGGCAGTAGGGGCAGTAGGGGCAGTAGGGGCAGTAGGGGCAGTAGGGGCAGTAGGGGCAGTAGGGGCAGTAGGGGCAGTAGGGGCAGTAGGGGCAGTAGGGGCAGTAGGGGCAGTAGGGGCAGTAGGGGCAGTAGGGGCAGTAGGGGCAGTAGGGCAGTAGGGCAGTAGGGGCAGTAGGGGCAGTAGGGGCAGGCAGGGGCAGTAGGGGCAGTAGGGGCAGTAGGGGCAGTAGGGGCAGGGGGGGCAGTAGGGGCAGTAGGGCAGTAGGGGCAGTAGGGGCAGTAGGGGCAGTAGGGGCACCAGGGGGCGCTGTGTCCTGAGGCAGGTGTTTAAATCGAGTTTAAAAAAAGCAGATAAATGGATTTATTTAAATAAATTTTAATCTAAAATAAAATCATATTTAATCAGCTCCAAGTCCCACAGACCCGAGCTCTGGTCCTGGCTCAGTCCTGGTCCAGTTCTGGTCCAGGTTCCACAGGGACTCCTGAGGGGTATCTGTGGACCAGGTCTTCCACCTCGATCACCTCCTGCACCAGCTCCCGGATCGCCCTGATACAGTCCAGGGGGCGCTCTCCCTCCTCCAGGGGGCGCTCTCCCTCCAGGAGGTGCTTTCTTTCCTCTTGGTCCTCCTTGGGGCGCTCTCCTGCCTCCGGGGGGCGCTCTCCCTCCTCCAGGAGGGGCTTCTCTTCCTCTCCCTCCTCCAGGGGGCGCTCTGGTGGAGTCTGGAGCAGCTCTTCACTGTAAAACAAAAGAGTCAAAACATCAGAGACACCTTCAGAAGAACCCTCTGTGTGTGTGTGTATAAATGTGTGTGTAAATGTGTAAATGTGTAAATATGTAAAGTGTGTGAAGTGTTAAAATATGTAAAGTATGTAAACTGTATAAATGTGTAAATATGTAAAGTGTGTAAATGTGTAAAGTGTGTAAAACGTGTAAAGTGTGTAAATGTGTAAATATGTAAAGTGGGTAAATGTGTAAAGTGTGTAAATGTGTAAATGTGTAAAGTGTGTAAAGTGTGTGAATATGTAAAGTGTGTGAAGTGATAAAATATGTAAATGTGTAAAGTGTGTAAATGTGTAAAGTGTGTAAATGTGTAAAGTTTGTAAATGTGTAAAGTGTGTAAATGTGTGTAAAGTGTGTAAATGTACAAAGTGTGTAAATGTGTAATTATGTAAAGTGTGTAAATATGTAAAGTATGTAAACTGTGTAAATGTGTAAATATGTAAAGTGTGTAAATGTGTAAAGTGTGTAAAATGTGTAAATGTACAAAGTGTGTAAAGTGTGTAAAGTGTCTCTTATCGTCCTGATGAAGCGTTTAAATAAATTCGCTGTCACCTGGTCTCCGGCGCCGTGCGGCTCCTCTCCTCTGATTGGTCGTCCTCCTCAGAGCTGAGCTGTGATTGGCTGTTTTCCTCCAGGACGTCTGACGTGGTGGAGCCTTCGTCGTCGCCGTCCTCCTCCTCCTCGCCCGCCGCCTGCCCACCTGCCTGAGCCTGCCTGCACCTGCCTGCACCTGCCTGCACCTCCTGCACCTGTCCTCCTGCACCTGTCCCTCCTGCACCTGTCCCTCCTGCACCTGTCCCTCCTGCACCTGTCCCTGTCCCTCCTGCACCTGTCCCTCCTGCACCTGTCCCTCCTGCACCTGTCCTTCCTGCACCTGTCCTTCCTGCACCTGTCCTTCCTGTCTCTCTGCGTTTCCCGTTTCAGGAGTTTCACAAACGTCGCTTTTCGTCTCTGCGTCTTCGGACGTTTCTTTTTCCGCTTCGTCTTTCGTCTCCAGTTTCTCGTCTCCCTGATTTTCCGAAGTTTCTTTCCCTCCTGGACTTTGTGATTCCGGGTTCGTCTCCGTCTTCACTTCGAGCGTCTCTTCTTTGGTGGTTACTTCCTCTTTTTGATCCTCCGTCGTTTCTTCTTCTTTCTGCTCAAAAACGTCATCGTGAAGTTCAGATGTTTGCGCTGCGTCTCCTGCTCCAGCGGTGACCTCGGCGGGTTCCTGAAGCTTCTGTCCCGGGTCGGACGTGTGGCTGTTTCCCGCCGGACGTGCGTTGCTCGACGGCTCCTGATCCTCGGATTCTCCCCCCGCACTTTGGTTTCCTTCTTTGTCCTGAGGATCCACTCGGGTTTCATTTCCCGGTTTTTCTAAAATGTCTCGGATCTCATCCACCACGACCTGAGCGACCTGAGCGACCTGAGCGTCCTGAGCGTCCTGAGCGACCTGAGCGTCCTGAGCGACCTGAGCGTCCTGAGCGACCTGAGCGACCTGAGCGACCTGAGCGACCTGAGCGACCTGAGCGTCCTGAGCGACCTGAGCGACCTGAGCGTCCTGAGCGACCTGAGCGTCCTGAGCGACCTGAGCGACCTGAGCGTCCTGAGAGACCTGAGCGACCTGAGAGACCTGAGCGACCTGAGCGACCTGAGCGACCTGAGCGACCTGAGCGACCTGAGCGACCTGAGCGACCTGAGAGACCTGAGCGACCTGAGCGACCTGAGTGACCTGAGTGACCTGAGCGACCTGAGCGTCCTGAGCGACCTGAGCGACCTGAGTGACCTGAGAGACCTGAGAGACCTGAGCGTCCTGAGCGACCTGAGTGACCTGAGTGACCTGAGCATCCTGACATCCGTTCACGACACTTTCTCCACTCGTGGTCATTTTGTCGCCGTTGGTCTCCGCAGTTTGGACGCTCGCCGGATCCGCGTCGCTCCGCACTTCCTGGGTCGCGGTGGGCGTGTGCGGCGCGCTCACGGGGGCGGGGCTTGAGGGCGCACGGGGCGATGATGCGAGTGAGAGGGCGGGGCTGGCGGGCGCGGATCCGATGGACGACACGCTGGAGCGGCTCAGGAGAAGATCTCTGCTGTCGCTGAACAGATTGTACTTCTGCAAACTCACCGCCTCCTTCACAACTACAAGAAACAAGAAAGAACTGAACCAGGACTGAACCAGGACTGAACCAGGACTGAACCAGGACTGAACCAGGACTGGACCAGGACTGAACCAGGACTGAACCAGGACTAAACCAGGACTGAACCAGGACTGGACCAGGACTGAAACCGGGACTGAACCAGGACTGAACCAGGACTGAACCGGACTGAACCAGGACTGAACCAGGACTGACAGGACTGAACCGGGACTGAACCAGGACTGAACCAGGACTGAACCGACTGAACCAGGACTGACCAGGACTAAACCAGGACTAAACCAGGACTAAACCAGGACTGGAGCAGGACTGAACCAGGACTGAACCAGGACTAACCAGGACTGAACCAGGACTGAACCAGGACTGAACCGGACTGAACCGGGACTGAACCGGGACTGAACCGGGACTAAACCGGGACTGAACCAGGACTGAACCAGGACTGAACCAGGACTAAACCGGGACTGGAGCAGGACTGAACCGGACTGAACCAGGACTGAACCGGACTGAACCGGACTGAACCGGGACTAAACCGGGACTGAAACCGGGACTGAACCGGGACTGAACCGGGACTGGACCAGGACTAAACCGGGACTCGACCAGGACTAAACCGGGACTGGACCAGGACTGAACCGGGACTGAACCGGGACTGAACCGGGACTGAACCGGGACTAAACCGGGACTGGACCAGGACTGAACCGGGACTGAACCGGGACTGAACCGGGACTGAACCGGGACTAAACCGGGACTGAACCAGGACTAAACCAGGACTGGAGCAGGACTGAACCAGGACTGAACCGGGACTGAACCAGGACTAAACCGGGACTGAACCGGGACTGAACCGGGACTGAACCAGGACTGGACCAGGACTGAACCAGGACTGAACCAGGACTAGAGGTGGTCTTACCTTTGGAGACCTCTTTCTGGAGAACACTGAGTAGAACGTCTTCGTAGATGTTCTCGATGTCGATGAAGTCGCTGTGGTCGAACTGCAGCTTCTGGACCTGAGACAGAAACAGAAATTCAACCCACAACCTGCACGAGGACCCTGCAGGTGTTCAGTGTTTGGACCCTGCAGGTGTTCAGTGTTCAAATTTTGCAGGTGCTCAGTGTTCCTGCAGGTGCTCAGTGTCCCTGCAGGTGTTCAGTACCTGCCGGTGTTGCTCCTGCAGCTGTTCCTTGAGGTAGGGCAGTGTGATCTGGACCAGAGCCTCGTCACAGATTTTCTTCCTCAGGGAACTCGAGTCGTAGTCAAATTGCTGAAAGAACAAAAAAACCAAACCTCAGTCCACATGCGGAAGGGCGTCTGACTCGGTGTGCGTGCGGGAGGGCGTCTGACTCGGTGCGCGTGCGGGAGGGCGTCTGACTCGGTGCGCGTGCGGGAGGGCGTCTGACTCGGTGCGCGTGCGGGAGGGCGTCTGACTCGGTGCACATGCGGGAGGGCGTCTGACTCGGTGCGCGTGCGGGTGACTCGGTGCGCGTGCGGGTGACTCGGTGCGCGTGTGGGACTCACCTTCAGGACTCGGTGTCGGACTTTGTCGACGGCCGGAGCGACTTTCTCCTGATGTTCCTCCAGAACTTTGGACAAAAGAATCTCGAACGTGAAAGCGGCGTTTTCCACCAACTGAAACAAACAGAACTGAACCAGGACCAGACCAGGACCAGACCAGGACTAAACCAGGACTAAACCAGGACTGGACCAGGACTAAACCAGGACTGAACCAGGACTGGACCAGGACAAACCAGAACTGAACCAGGACTGGACCAGGACTAACCAGGACTGAACCAGGACTGGACCAGGACTAAACCAGGACTGGACCAGGACCAGACTGGACCAGACCAGACTAAACCAGGACTAACCAGGACTAAACCAGGACTAAACCAGGACTAAACCAGGACTGGACCAGGACTAAACCAGGACTAAACCAGGACTAAACCAGGACTGGACCAGGACTAAACCAGAACTGAACCAGGACTAAACCAGGACTGGACCAGGACTAGACCAGGACTAAACCAGGACTAAACCAGGACTAAACCAAGACTGAACCAGGACTGAACCAGGACTGAACCAGGTCCACTCCAGGTCATGGTACCTGCTGCAGGTCTAGCTCAGGTCGTTGTACCTGCTGCAGGTCTAGCTCAGGTCGTTGTACCTGCCGCAGGTCTAGCTCAGGTCGTACCTGCTGCAGGTCTAGCTCAGGTCGTTGTACCTGCTGCAGGTGTAGCTCAGGTCGTACCTGCTGCAGGTGTAGCTCAGGTCATTGTACCTGCTGCAGGCCTACCTCAGGTCGTACCTGCTGCAGGTCTAGCTCAGGTCGTTGTACCTGCTGCAGGTGTAGCTCAGGTCATTGTACCTGCTGTAGGTGTAGCTCAGGTCATTGTACCTGCTGTAGGTGTAGCTCAGGTCGTACCTGCTGCAGGTCGATCTGGACGCTGTGGACGAGTCCGGTCACGTTCTTGAATCCGAATCTTTCTCTGAGTCGCTGGAGTCGCTCGTCCAGAGACTCGACCACCTGAAACCCCCCAGACAAGACAGGACCCGACAGGGAGCGCAGCACCTGCCACACACGCACCTGTCAGTGTGTGTGTGGACAGGGACATGTGTGTGTACCTCCTGTAGTGTGCCCGCGGTCTGTGTGTGTATGTACCTCTCTGTGTGTGTCACGGCCTGTGTGTGTGTGTGTGTACCTCTCGTAGTGTGTCGCGGTCTGTGTGTGTATGTACCTCTCTGTGTGTGTCGCGGTCTCTGTGTGTGTGTGTACCTCTCGTAGTGTGTCATGGTCTGTGTGTGTGTGTACCTCTCGTAGTGTGTCGCAGTCTGTGTGTGTGTCTGTACCTCTCGTAGTGTGTCGCGGTCTGTGTGTGTCTGTACCTCTCGTAGTGTGTCGTGGTCTGTGTGTGTGTGTACCTCTCGTAGTGTGTCGTGGTCTGTGTGTGTGTGTGTACCTCTCGTAGTGTGTCGCGGTCTGTGTGTGTGTGTACCTCTTGTAGTGTGTTGCGGTCTGTGTGTGTGTCTGTACCTCTCGTAGTGTGTCGCGATCTGTGTGTGTGTGTACCTCTTGTAGTGTGTTTGCGGTCTGTGTGTGTGTCTGTACCTCTCGTAGTGTGTCGTGGTCTGTGTGTGTGTTTACCTCTCGTAGTGTGTCGCGGTCTGTGTGTGTATGTACATCTCGTTGTGTGTCGCGGTCTGTGTGTGTGTACCTCTCGTAGTGTGTCGCGGTCTGTGTGTGTTTACCTCTCGTAGTGTGTCGCGGTCTCTGTGTGTGTGTACCTCTCGTAGTGTGTCGCGGTCTCTGTGTGTGTGTACCTCTCGTTGTGTGTCTCGGTCTGTGTGTGTGTTTACCTCTCGTAGTGTGTCGCGGTCTCTGTGTGTGTGTACCTCTCGTGTCGGTCTGTGTGTGTGTTACCTCTCGTAGTGTGTCGGTCTGTGTGTGTGTTACCTCTCGTAGTGTGTCGCGGTCTGTGTGTGTGTGTACCTCTCGTAGTGTGTCGCGGTCTGTGTGTGTGTACCTCTCGTAGTGTGTCGCGGTCTGTGTGTGTGTGTACCTCTCGTAGTGTGTCGCGGTCTCTGTGTGTGTGTACCTCTCGTAGTGTGTCGCGGTCTGTGTGTGTGTATCTCTCGTTGTGTGTCTCGGTCTGTGTGTGTGTTTACCTCTCGTAGTGTGTCGCGGTCTGTGTGTGTGTACCTCTCGTAGTGTGTCGCGGTCTGTGTGTGTGTTTACCTCTCGTAGTGTGTCGCGGTCTGTGTGTGTGTATCTCTCGTAGTGTGTGTGTCTCTCGTAGTGTGTCGCGGTCTGTGTGTGTGTACCTCTCGTAGTGTGTCGCGGTCTGTGTGTGTGTACCTCTCTGTAGTGTGTCGCGGTCTGTGTGTGTGTTTACCTCTCGTAGTGTGTCGCGGTCTGTGTGTGTGTACCTCTCGTAGTGTGTCGCGGTCTGTGTGTGTGTACCTCTCGTAGTGTGTCGCGGTCTGTGTGTGTGTACCTCTCGTAGTGTGTCGGTCTCTGTGTGTGTGTGTACCTCTCGTAGTGTGTCGTGGTCTGTGTGTGTGTGTACCTCTCGTAGTGTGTCGCGGTCTGTGTGTGTGTTTACCTCTCGTAGTGTGTCGCGTGTGTCTGTGTGTGTGTACCTCTCGTAGTGTGTCGTGGTCTGTGTGTGTGTACCTCTCGTAGTGTGTCGCGGTCTGTGTGTGTGTACCTCTCGTAGTGTGTCGTGGTCTGTGTGTGTGTGTACCTCTTGTAGTGTGTCGCGGTCTGTGTGTGTGTGTACCTCTCGTAGTGTGTCGCGGTCTGTGTGTGTGTGTACCTCTTGTAGTGTGTCGCGGTCTGTGTGTGTGTGTACCTCTCGTAGTGTGTCGCGGTCTGTGTGTGTGTGTACCTCTTGTAGTGTGTCGCGGTCTGTGTGTGTGTGTACCTCTTGTAGTGTGTCGCGGTCTGTGTGTGTGTGTACCTCTTGTAGTGTGTCGCGGTCTGTGTGTGTGTGTACCTCTGTAGTGTGTGCGGTCTGTGTGTGTGTGTACCTCTTGTAGTGTGTCGCGGTCTGTGTGTGTTGTACCTCTTGTAGTGTGTCGCGGTCTGTGTGTGTGTGTACCTCTTGTAGTGTGTGTCGCGGTCTGTGTGTGTGTGTACCTCTTGTAGTGTGTCGCGGTCTGTGTGTGTGTACCTCTGTAGTGTGTCGCGGTCTGTGTGTGTGTACCTCTGTAGTGTGTCGCGGTCTGTGTGTGTGTGTGTACCTCTTGTAGTGTGTCGCGGTCTGTGTGTGTGTGTACCTCTTGTAGTGTGTCGCGGTCTGTGTGTGTGTACCTCTTGTAGTGTGTCGCGGTCTGTGTGTGTGTGTGTACCTCTTGTAGTGTGTCGCGGTCTGTGTGTGTGTGTACCTCTGTAGTGTGTCGCGGTCTGTGTGTGTGTGTACCTCTTGTAGTGTGTCGCTGTGTGTGGTACCTCTTGTAGTGTGTCGCGGTCTGTGTGTGTGTGTACCTCTTGTAGTGTGTCGCGGTCTGTGTGTGTGTACCTCTCGTAGTGTGTCGCGGTCTGTGTGTGTGTGTACCTCTTGTAGTGTGTCGCGTCTGTGTGTGTCGTGTCTGTGTGTGTGTACCTCTCGTAGTGTGTGTCTGTGTGTGTGTACCTCTTGTAGTGTGTCGCGGTCTGTGTGTGTGTGTACCTCTTTGTAGTGTGTCGCGGTCTGTGTGTGTGTGTACCTCTTGTAGTGTGTCCTGTGTGTGTGTACCTCTCGTAGTGTGTGTGTGTGTCTTGTACGTCTGTGTGTGTACCTCGTAGTGTGTCGCGCGGTCTGTGTGTGTGTGTACCTCTTGTAGTGTGTCGCGGTCTGTGTGTGTGTGTACCTCTTGTAGTGTGTCGCGGTCTGTGTGTGTGTACCTCTCGTAGTGTGTCGCGGTCTGTGTGTGTGTGTACCTCTTGTAGTGTGTCGCGGTCTGTGTGTGTGTGTACCTCTTGTAGTGTGTCGCGGTCTGTGTGTGTGTGTACCTCTTGTAGTGTGTCGCGGTCTGTGTGTGTGTACCTCTCGTAGTGTGTCGCGGTCTGTGTGTGTGTACCTCTTGTAGTGTGTCGCGGTCTGTGTGTGTGTGTACCTCTTGTAGTGTGTGTGTGTGTGTGTACCTCTGTAGTGTGTCTGTGTGTGTACCTCTGTAGTGTGTCGCGGTCTGTGTGTGTGTACCTCTTGTAGTGTGTCGCGGTCTGTGTGTGTGTGTACCTCTTGTAGTGTGTCTGTGTGTGTGTTACCTCGTAGTGTGTCGCGGTCTGTGTGTGTGTACCTCTTGTAGTGTGTCGCGGTGTGTGTGTGTGTACCTCTTGTAGTGTGTCGCGGTCTGTGTGTGTGTGTACCTCTTGTAGTGTGTCGCGGTCCTCTCTCTGGAGCAGTCCTTCCTTGACTCGGTCCATGGCCCCTGCACACGCGTCTCGTCCGTGTGCGAAGCCTCGACTCACCGGCTCCAGGATCTCGTCCAGGACCGAACTCAGGTCCGGCTCCACCTTCAGAGCACAGAGGCCCTCAGCCGGACCCCAGACCAGCGCTGGACCAAGACCAAGACCACAGACCCGGTTTAGACTGGGTTTAGTTCTGGCTTAGTCCTGGTTTAGTCCTGGTTCAGTTCTCATTTAGTCCTGGTTTAGTCCTGGTTTAGTCCTGGTTTAGTCCTGTTTCAGTCCTGGTTTAGTCCTGTTCTAGTCCTGGTTTAGTCCTAGTCCTGGTTTAGTCCTGGTTCTTTAGTCCTGGTTTCTGGTTTAGTCCTGGTTTAGTCCTGGGTTTTGGTTCAGTCCTGGTTTAGTCCTTCAGTCCTGGTTTAGTCCTGGTTTAGTCCTGGTCCAGTCCTTTAGTCCTGGGTCCTGGTCTAGTCCTGTTTAGTCCTGGTTTAGTCCTGGTCTAGTCCTGGTTCAGTCCTGGTTAGTCCAGTCCTGGTCCTGGTTCTAGTCCTGTCTAGTCTAGTCCTGGTGTCTAGTCCTGGTTAGTCCTGGTTTAGTCCTGGTCTAGTCCTGGTTAGTCCTGGTTTAGTCTAGTCCTGGTAGTCCTGGTTTAGTCCTGGTTCAGTCCTGGTTTAGTCCTGGTTAGTCCTGTTTAGTCCTGGTCCTGTCCAGTCCTGGTTTAGTCCTGGTTTAGTCCTGGTTTAGTCCTGGTCTAGTCCTGGTCTAGTCCTGGTTCAGTCCTGGTTTAGTCCTGGTCCAGTCCTGGTCCAGTCCTGGTTTAGTCCTGGTCTAGTCCTGGTTTAGTCCTGGTTAGTCCTGGTTTAGTCCTGGTTAGTCTAGTCCTGGTCTAGTCCTAGTCTAGTCCTGGTTAGTCCTGGTTCAGTCCTGGTTTAGTCCTTAGTCCTGGGTCCAGTCCTGGTTTAGTCCTGGTCCAGTCCTGGTTTAGTCCTGGTTTAGTCCTGGTTTAGTCCTGGTCTAGTCCTGGTCTAGTCCTGGTTCAGTCCTGGTTTAGTCCTGGTTTAGTCCTGGTCTAGTCCTGGTCTAGTCCTGGTTCAGTCCTGGTTTAGTCCTGACCTTGGACCTTCTGCTGCAGTTCTTCTTTGCTCCTCTGGATCTGGTCCATGTCTGAGTGGATCTGGACTTCCTTCTGCCTCAGGGATCTTCTCAGCTCGTCCTTCAGACTCGACAAACCCTCCAGAAGAGTCTCCTGCACCAACACGTAGGCCGCCTCCACCGTCTGCGCGAGAGGAGAGTCTGGATCAGGACCTACAGAACCTACAGGACCTACAGAACCTACAGAACCTACAGGACCTACAGAACCTACAGAACCTACAGAACCTACAGGACCTACAGAACTTACAGAACCTACAGAACCTACAGAACCTACAGGACCTACAGAACCTACAGAACCTACAGACCTACAGGACCTACAGAACCTACAGAACCTACAGAACCTCCAGAACCTACAGGACCTCCAGAACCTCCAGAACCTACAGGACCTCCAGAACCTCCAGGACCTACAGATCCTCCAGAACCTACAGAACCTACAGGACCTCCAGAAACTACAGAACTTACAGAACCTACAGAACCTACAGGACCTCCAGAAACTACAGAACTTACAGAACCTACAGGACCTACAGAACCTCCAGAACCTACAGGACCTCCAGAACCTCCAGAACCTACAGGACCTCCAGAACCTCCAGGACCTACAGATCCTCCAGAACCTACAGAACCTACAGGACCTCCAGAAACTACAGAACCTACAGAACCTACAGAACCTACAGGACCTACAGAACCTACAGAACTTACAGAACCTACAGAACCTACAGGACCTCCAGAACCTACAGAACTTACAGAACCTACAGAACCTACAGGACCTCCAGAACCTCCAGGACCTACAGATCCTCCAGAACCTACAGAACCTACAGGACCTCCAGAAACTACAGAACCTACAGAACCTACAGGACCTACAGGACCTACAGAACCTCCGGAACCTACAGGACCTCCAGAACCTCCAGAACCTACAGGACCTCCAGAACCTCCAGGACCTACAGATCCTCCAGAACCTACAGAACCTACAGGACCTCCAGAAACTACAGAACCTACAGAACCTACAGGACCTACAGGACCTACAGAACCTCCGGAACCTACAGGACCTCCAGAACCTCCAGAACCTACAGGACCTCCAGAACCTCCAGAACCTACAGATCCTCCAGAACCTACAGAACCTACAGGACCTCCAGAAACTACAGAACTTACAGAACCTACAGAACCTACAGACTCCAGAAACTACAGAACTTACAACCTACAGGACCTACAGAACCTCCAGAACCTACAGGACCTCCAGAACCTACAGGACCTACAGGACCTCCAGATCCTCCAGAACCTACAGAACCTACAGGACCTCCAGAAACTACAGAACCTACAGAACCTACAGGACCTACAGGATCTACAGGACCTCCGGAACCTACAGAACCTACAGATCCTCCAGAACCTACAGAACCTGCAGCACCTACAGAACCTCCAGAACCTACAGGACCTACAGAACCTTCAGAACCTACAGAACTTCAGAGAGAGAGTCTGGACCAGGACCTACAGGACCTCAACAATCTTAGATTAGATGTTTGTGGGTGGGGTCAGGTGTTTGTGGGAGGGATCAGGTGGTTTGTGGGCGGGGTCAGGTGGTTAGTGGGCGGAGTCAGGTGGTTTGTGGGGGTCAGGTGTTGTGCGGGTCAGTGGTTGTGGGGGGGTCAGGTGGTTTGTGGAGGGGTCAGGTGGTTGTGGGAGGGGTCAGGTGGTTTGTGGGAGGGGTCAGGTGGTTTGTGGGCGGGTCAGGTGGTTTGTGGGCGGGGTCAGGTGGTTGTGGGGAGGAGTCAGGTGGTTTATGGGAGGGGTCAGGTGGTTTATGGGAGGGGTCAGGTGGTTGTGGGAGGGGTCATGTGGTTGTGGGCGGGGTCAGGTGGTTTGTGGCGGGGTCAGGTGGTTGTGGGCGGGTCATGTGGTTGTGGGCGGGGTCAGGTGGTTTGTGGGCGGGGTCAGGTGGTACTCACGCTGAACCACAGTCGTTTCCTGTCGTTTTTCTTGCTCTTCAGTTTGGGGACAAGATCTTTCTCCAGCGTCGGCAACAAACGCTCCATCACCGCGTTCGACAGGACCTGGAGGTCACACTCAGGTCACACACAGGTCACACACTCAGGTCACACTCAGGTCACACACTCAGGTCACTCACACAGGTCACACACTCAGGTCACACACACACAGGTCACACACAGGTCACACTCAGGTCACACTCAGGTCACACACTCAGGTCACACACACAGGTCACACTCAGGTCACACACAGGTCACACACAGGTCACACACAGGTCACACACTCAGGTCAGGTCACACACTCAGGTCACACACACAGGTCACACACTCAGGTCACACTCAGGTCACACACTCAGGTCACACACTCAGGTCACACACTCAGGTCACACACTCAGGTCACACACTCAGGTCACACACTCAAGTCACACACTCAAGTCACACACTCAGGTCACACTCAGGTCACACACTCAGGTCACACACTCAGGTCACACACTCAAGTCACACACTCAGGTCACACACTCAAGTCACACACTCAGGTCACACACTCAGGTCACACACTCAGGTCACACACTCAGGTCACACACTCAGGTCACACATCAGGTCACACTCAGGTCACACACTCAGGTCACACACACAGGTCACACTCAGGTCACACACTCAGGTCACACACACAGGTCACACACACAGGTCACACTCAGGTCACACACTCAGGTCACACACACAGGTCACACACACAGGTCACACTCAGGTCACACACTCAGGTCACACACTCAAGTCACACACTCAAGCCACACACTCAGGTCACACACTCAGGTCACACACAGGTCACACACTCAGGTCACACTCAGGTCACACACTTAGGTCACACACTCAGGTCACACACTCAGGTCACACACTCAGGTCACACACTCAAGTCACACACTCAGGTCACAAACTCAAGTCACACTCAGGTCAGAGGTCACACACTCAGGTCACACACTCAGGTCCACACACTCAGGTCACACACTCAGGTCAGAGATCACACACTCAGGTCACACACACAGGTCACACACTCAGGTCACACTCAGGTCACACACTCAAGTCACACACTCAGGTCAGTCCTGGTTTTAATTCTTTTATGTGACCTTCTTTCAAATTGTCCCTTGATTAAGCAGTGGTATCTGCAGTATTCGTAGTATTTGTAGTAGCAGTATTTGTAGTAGTATTTGTAGTAGTATTTGTAGTACTTTACCCTCACGTCGCTGCCTCATCATTGTCCCAGGCCTGGTATATTTGTAGTAGTATTTGTAGTATTTGTAGTATTTGTAGTACTTTACCCTCACGTCGCTGCCCATCATCATGTCCCAGGCCTGGTATATTTGTAGTAGTATTTGTAGTAGTATTTGTAGTATTTGTAGTACTTTACCCTCACGTCGCTGCCCATCATCATGTCCCAGGCCTGGTATATTTGTAGTAGTATTGTAGTAGTATTTGTAGTATTGTAGTACTTTACCTCACGTCGCTGCCCATCATCATGTCCCAGGCCTGGTATATTTTGTAGTAGTATTTTGTAGTATTGTAGTATTTGTAGTACTTTACCCTCACGTCGCTGCCCATCATCATGTCCCAGGCCTGGTATATTTGTAGTAGTATTTGTAGTAGTATTTGTAGTACTTTACCCTCACGTCGCTGCCCATCATCATGTCCCAGGCCTGTAGTAGTATTTGTAGTAGTATTTGTAGTAGTATTTGTAGTATTTGTAGTACTTTACCCGCACGTCGCTGCCCATCATCATGTCCCAGGCCTGGTAGTATTTGTAGTAGTATTTGTAGTATTTGTAGTACTTTACCCGCACGTCGCTGCCCATCATCATGTCCCAGGCCTGGTATATTTGTAGTAGTATTTGTAGTAGTATTTGTAGTATTTGTAGTACTTTACCCGCACGTCGCTGCCCATCATCATGTCCCAGGCCTGGTATATTTGTAGTAGTATTTGTAGTAGTATTTGTAGTATTGTAGTACTTTACCCGCACGTCGCTGCCCATCATCATGTCCAGGCCTGGTATATTTGTAGTAGTATTTTAGTAGTATTTGTAGTATTTGTAGTACTTTACCCGCACGTCGCTGCCCATCATCATGTCCAGGCCTGGTATATTTGTAGTAGTATTTGTAGTAGTATTTGTAGTATTTGTAGTACTTTACCCGCACGTCGCTGCCCATCATCATGTCCCAGGCCTGGTATATTTGTAGTAGTATTTGTAGTAGTATTTGTAGTATTTGTAGTACTTTACCCGCACGTCGCTGCCCATCATCATGTCCCAGGCCTGGTATATTTGTAGTAGTATTTGTAGTATTTGTAGTATTTGTAGTACTTTACCCGCACGTCGCTGCCCATCATCATGTCCCAGGCCTGGTATATTTAGTAGTATTTGTAGTATATTTGTAGTATTGTATTACTTTACCCGCACGTCGCTGCCCATCATCATGTCCCAGGCCTGGTATATTTGTAGTAGTATTTGTAGTAGTATTTGTAGTATTTGTAGTACTTTACCCTCACGTCGCTGCCCATCATCATGTCCCAGGCCTGGTATATTTGTAGTAGTATTTGTAGTAGTATTTGTAGTATTTGTAGTACTTTACCCTCACGTCGCTGCCCATCATCATGTCCCAGGCCTGGTATATTTGTAGTAGTATTTGTAGTAGTATTTGAAGTATTTGTAGTACTTTACCCTCACGTCGCTGCCCATCATCATGTCCCAGGCCTGGTATATTTGTAGTAGTATTTGTAGTAGTATTTGTAGTATTTGTAGTACTTTACCCTCACGTCGCTGCCATCATCATGTCCAGGCCTGGTATTTTGTAGTAGTATTTGTAGTAGTATTTGTAGTATTTGTAGTACTTTACCCTCACGTCGCTGCCCATCATCATGTCCCAGGCCTGGTATATTTGTAGTAGTATTTGTAGTAGTATTTGAAGTATTTGTAGTACTTTACCCTCACGTCGCTGCCCATCATCATGTCCCAGGCCTGGTATATTTGTAGTAGTATTTGTAGTAGTATTTTGTAGTATTTGTAGTACTTTACCCTCACGTCGCTGC